AACTGCTTGACTCCCGTTTTTTTAATTACAATTTTAATTAAAAAGTAAAGCATTTTCATTAGTTCGTCATTATCGAATTAATCATTTTACTGCGTACGTACGGTGTTTTATTAATTTTTAAATCTTGTATATACTTTTGTGTGTACTTTTTATGATTGTCATTTTGTTCTTGTTTAAAGTCTTGTTACAGAAGCACAACTGGACTGAACGAGTATTGTCAATTTTTTTAAACGTAATAATAAAAATTAAAATACTCTAAAGGAAGTTCCGACATGTACTCGTTTGGTCCAAACAAAAAACCGTCGGCAAAAACAGAGAAGAAATGGGAAAAAACATCGTTTGTTATAATTTATATATACTATATACATATACATGCATATATTTGTATTTTTGGATATGTAATATGCGCATGTTTGCATTACAATTTCCTCATGAATAAAACTAAACGAAAAAGTGATGTAAATGCCGTAGTATGGGGCACCGCCAGAGGCAAAAGGGCATCGTACAAGCATTTATTTACATACTGCGCACGCATTGTTTTTTTATATATCGTTCTTTTACTACCTGCTACTACTACTACTACTACTTACCCTTTTTTCATTGTTGTTTTTATAATTAACAAGCTGCATGTGTATGTGTTGAATTTTTACGCCAGTCCAATTTCCCTCCCTAGCCCTTTTTAGTCGTTTTTTCCTCCTTATGCCCTTTTTGAGTTTTCTAATTTTCATGCTTGCAGCAATGGAGCGGGTAAGTAAGTACATTAAAAGTACAAAGTTGCACTGGTGCAGGGACGTCTTGTTATTGTTGTTGATGTTTCTTTTTATAGTATTATTCGCCGATTAATAAAAGGATGTATTAAAGATACAATCTAAGACAAATTGTACCCATTGGTGAAAATGTATCGGTATCAGCAATTTCTTCATTATTAATTTAAATTTCATTTATGGCGATGCCGATAATTCCTTTAATATATACATATTTGGTATAGTTAGACACTCGCATCATTCATATTCGACAATTTCAAGTAAGTCGTCATTGGTCTCAGATTGTATTTTTAATGCATGCTTAGTGGACGTAGTGTTTATTTATTTAAATACGAAGAGCTGCTACTGTAATTATTCTGTCTGGCCAAGAATCGTTACTTGACTTTTCCCGGCATGTTTTTTTTCGTTTTATTTTAAAATAGTTACATACCTAATCTAATTGTTTGGTTTAAACACGATATGAACAAGTGATTCTTAAAACGAAAGCGAAATCTTATCAAAGTTATCAGAAATTTAATGGGTGTTATAATAAAGTCGAACAAAAATAACAAATAATTGACTACTAATTATTTGCTAATATTGTTTTAATATTGCTAATGGTGATATTAGTATTGGATTGATGGAAAGAATTCTAGAAAAGAAAAAGCGAAAAATTGGGAGACTGGTATTATTTTGTTGTTGTGTATTTTTATAGATTACGATTACGACTATTACGGTTATGGGGATTATCGAGGCGGCTACAGTGATCCTTATTATGACGAGTATTACCGGTATGAAGATTACTATTACGATTATCCACCGCCGGCCCCACCCCAAGCTAGAGGAAGAGGCCGACAACCACAACCGGTGGGTCGCCATGTCTAAATAAATACATAATAGTTATACACATATCACAAGATGATGATGATGATGATAACGTTAATGATTAGATACGCACACATTTACTGTTATTGAGCTGTTGTCGTTACTTCGTGTTGTTGCTGGTTTGCAACGCACATGCTTCTTTTATTATTTTTATATATATATAT